CAAGGGATTTGTGATTATCTTGATGCAAAAGGCATTACTTATAGCCACAGTGACGTTTTTCGCTTTGCCGGAGTGTCGAAGCCTTCCGGATGGGCTCCTTTTTTTGTGGTGGTGGGGAATAAATTGCGGCCCAGACTTTTTTTCCGGATACCGTGGTGGTGTTTGGCGTGGAGAATCTGACACGATTGCTGACAAAGGATTCTCCTATTTGGGACACAGTTTACACCTTGAATGGCTGTCGACCAGTCCCTGCACGAGGATCCAACTATCCCGGCTTGAGATTGGTCAACCTTAAAGCTCCCAGGGGGGTCTCCCCCTGGAAATAACGCCTTAGAGAAGTAGGCCTTTGTAAAAAAACAGCTTTCGTCGGGCTTCGCTGACGCCTTCACTGCTTTCAAAAGCAGTGTTACGCTATCGTTGTAGTTTATACCCGTCAGGCTAGCCAGTAAGCCCAGCGGGTTTCTATTGGACTCTATCTATAACATCATCAGAGATTTCTTCAACCCCAACCTCCATCGGATTTCGTCATCCGTTGTTATCGAATGGGATCAACAGAAAAGGTCCGTTGGGAATGCATCGTCCGATTACGGTCTCATCCCATTTAGCTTTGACATTATCCCTCTTTTTTTTTTCTCCTCTCTTCTCTTTGCTTTCTTTTTTGCTTTTTCTCTTGCATGAGGACTCGTTTGATGTTTTGCAACTGAGCTGGTCTGCATCATTCAGGGGCCGCTGCAGCCCACCCTTGTCATCACATTGTGATACTGGCGGCGCACGGGTTGACTTTGATTCTCGACAAGTTTGTTCCAAGTGTAGTGCCACAATGCGTACGCTTCACCCATCACACATGTCTCTGGAAAATATGGTCTTGCGGTTGCATTGGAAAGGCGTTTTCCGGCCGGATGCGAGGTCCATTGTAAATCACTCAAAAGTACCAAAGTCGCCCAGCCACGACCCCGCAATCAGATGGCGTGTCACTGTAACGCATTTCCTCTCCCTTGAGATCTAGAATGGTAACCTGCGCTAGGGTTCTGAGTACGACGCTGACGAATGGAGGGACACATCCATTTCTCACGCTGCCGTGGAGGGCCTGAACCACGACCCGTACGTATGCCGAGAGGGGTGGATCCGTTAGGCCAAGGCCGCCGATTGACAGGGGTAGATGCGCGTGCAAGGGACGCGTCAAGCTCAACGATGGTCAGACAAGCAGGACGTTCAGGAATCGACGCGGCGAAGCCTTGCCGGCGTGCCGGCCTCAAGACTGAACAGTTTCAGATACCTACCACAAGGTTGCACGGCGGTGGCGAAACCATAAACCCGTGTTTGTGATGCTCGAGCTGTTACTGGCAAACTTGCATGTTGGGCTCTCTGTCCATTCATTGGGCACAATCGGGCAAAGGAGTTGATGGACTGAAAGCAGGGAAGCTTGAGCCGCCGCATTGATACACAGCTAGGACGACATATGCCTGCCATATCTCATTAGATAGCCAGTATCAGTCCTAGGAATCCTCCGGGACAAGAGAATGGCTGGGCGGAGATTGTCACACGCGGCCCATCCGGCGGTGGGATGCATGTCTGAGTAAATTCCCGCCTTCCAGAAGGCCGCCAGTCGGAGTGCAAGAGTCTAGCAAAACCTGAACACGCACACACACGATAGCGGTTTGTCGCCGCGATGCCATTCTGATTCGAGCAGGGTACCTACATGCGGGCTAGCATCCCGCTTATATGCATGGTAAGCTCTGGCGAGGAACTAAAAGGGAAAAGGCGAGGCTGGGTGGCCGCTAGCTCAAAGTTCTGATAGCAAGATATGTGATGTGATGGACAGTGCCCCTAACGAACCATATATAGGTAGCTCCCTAAACGTATTTTGGACCAAGCGAGGGTATTGCCTATCAGTTCCGTAAAGGGGTAGAGTTGGCTGTCGAAAAATCCTTTCCAGCCACCGCCGCGGCTACATCGACGTTGGATTTTTTAGTCCTACGTTTATGAGCATATGTGCGTAGGGAGTGATAGACACGCAGAACGAGCATGCTTATCCCCCTCCCACCATAATTCGTTTCCTTAACACGGGTTGTACGGGTGGTGAAATTCCAGCAGCCCGCAGTGGAGGGCTCTTGTTTCTGAGCAAAGAGCCGCGGTTCAAACAACCGGCCAGGGTTGTGGCTGGACGGTTCCAGCGGTCCCCATAAAAATGTCGCACGCTATTGACGGATTACATCGCTGATCTGACGAGGGCCTGCCGAACTTCAGGTTGGCCGTGGCCCTCCCTCAAGACCCCCGTTCGGGAGCCGGGACCCTGCGCCGTCCATGTCATCGAGGTTGAACGCACGATACGAGTGTCCAGCAGAGTGATTGGCATGGAAGGGACACTGGCTGAAGGGCGCCGTCCTACTGAGCGGAGGCCGTGCCGTGTCCATGCCAGGTCGGGACTTTGCCCTTCAATCTCAAGCGGCAGCGCCTATTGCGCGCTGGCGGCGGGCTTTGGTGGCGCACGTCCCGCAGGGAAGTTTAGTGTTGCAGCCTCGCCTGCAGTGCCCAGGGGGCCCACCCAGCAAAAAAGAAACGAACATGGGGCCGAGCGGAGAAACGGGAGGAACGGGCGATATTCATCAGGGGAGGGGAACGGACAGTTGAGGCCGTCCAATCGTATCAGATTGCGCCATGTGATTCATCAGTTTGCCCGCGCTGCATTCAATGCGTCGTGCAAGAGTCCTTCTTGCCAGAGGTGAATGCTCTGCGCCGGTGATTGGCCGCGCCGGGGGCAGACCTCAATGTCTGCTCGCAGTCAATCAAAGGGCACCAACCAGGCCTCACCGCACTGCGGGCAGCATGGCACCACCTTGCAGCAATCTGGCACTTGACCAGAGAGATGGCTGGGTCATTGGTGATATGCCACCAACCCGCTGACGCCACGCCATGGATGTGGGTTCGGCTGGGTGGGGGAGCCATGCGGGTCGCTGCAGTGTGGTGGCGCACTGGCCCCTTTGGGGCTAGCAAAGATTGATGCTGCATCTTCAAGGGACGCGCGTGAGTGGCAGAAGGCAACTTTTTTTTCTTTCTTCCTGTCACCAGCTGCAGCACGCCCCCCGCCACCCAACGAAAATATGGGAGGGTAAAGTGGTGATACCTAGTTGTATGCGGGTGCTCATAGGCTTTTGAAGGCCGCTGCAGGGCTTGCTTGCTCATGAGCACATGAAGCATGACCGCACGTCTCATGGCGTGCATCTGCACACTGACCCCGAGCCGCTGACGGCGAACGGGGCGCGGCATGGAGAGGTCAGGCCGCTTCCGATGTCGTAGTCTTTGGTACGCTAGCATCGAGGTCAAAAAAATTGTGGCCCTCCATTGGGCCCAAAGGCCAAAAAGTGTGATATGGGAAAGGCCAAGTCGAGTTGAACTACCTGGCCTCCCCGAACTACCCCGTCTTGCGCCCCTCGACCTCCCCCTCCCCTGTCGTCTTGTCCGCTCGGCACCCGGCACCCACCGTGGCTCCCAAGGACGGTTGAAGAGTCTTGTCGAGGCCGGGGACCCCCTCCCAATCTGCTGCACATCTGTGCCTGGTTTGTCCGGTGCTGGCGTCCTCAACGGGACGCAAGCCTCTGGGTACCTTGTATAGGAACGACTTGCCTCCCGACTTCTCCGCCTTCCTTCCTCCACCGCTCGCTCTCCTTCCCCCTCTTTGTCGTCTCTTCCTTCCTTGCTTGGTGCCTTCCTTGTGTTTCTTGTTTGCAGCTTCTTCCATTCCTTTGTGCGGTACTCGCCAGCTCGCTGCACGGCCAGCTACTACTTTCGACATATCCCGATCACCTGCCTTCCGCCTTTGTCCTGCGTTTCCAGACAGCGAAGACGGAACCCCGACTTGACTCGACGTCCCACCCTCTTCGCATCTGCATTTGCATATGCCAGCCCAGCCCCGGTTTGGATCGACCTGGGTTCATGCGTTGACAAGCCCACCCGAGGATTTGTTGCAGACTCTCCACGTTCGCCTTCCCACCGACGGACTGGGACCTGTCAGGCTTGTTTGATGCGTCTGGCGGTGCATATCTCCCAACACGAATAACATCTTAATATCGACCTCGCCCTCTGGTTGGCGGCTGCGAAGCACCAGGCCACCCGACTGGCTCTGAGGCGCGAGCTGTGACTAGGTTAGCCAGGGCCACGCTCCAGGGGAGCTTGGGGAACCACAGCAGGAGCGCACGGGCAATAGCACGGGCGGAAATCAGAATCTAGGGGTGGGTGAGAAGGCTTCGTGTGCAGTCATGGCTTGCACCACGACCACCCTGATGCAGACGGGCGAGATGATGCTCCCGGCCATTCAGGTCCAGGTCCAGAGCCCCAGCCTGCCCGACTCGGATCCCGGCTTCAGCAGCACTGCGGATTTGGTGGCGACACCTGCCATTTCAGCTAGCAGCGCGATCCCGGGCACATGCGCTAAGGATCCCTCGCCAACGTCAACACACCGAAATTGGCATGCCCACCGCCAGAGCCACAACTCGTCCAAATTGCCCGCTTTTCGCTTTGCCGACCTCAAGACCACGGACATGGGGAAGGAGCCGACGCCACTGCCAGGGCTGCCCTCGCCGCAGCTGCAGCGCCGCCCTCAGGAGGAGATGGAGGGGGAGGAGCAGGAGCAGGAGCAGGAGCAACAGTCAGAGCAGCAGAAGCAGCAACAACAAGCACAAGCACAAGGACAGGTCCAGGCCCAAGGCCAGCTCGAGCACAGGTACCTGCAAAAGCAACAAGAAGATGGTGGGCAACCGCGGTCGCCAAGCAGCAACGGCAACACGACCACTTATGAACAGGGAACCCACCAGGACCCGTTGGATGGTGACCCCACCGACCAGGACAAGCACCCGCATCACTTGCAGTCTGCGGATCACTACGAAAACCCTGCTGCTGCCGCTGGTTCGATGCGGCTGCAGTCGGCAACGGCAACCGAAGCAGCAGCAAAAGAGCGGCTGCACGTGCCACCACAGCAGCTGCGACTGGAACACAACAACCACAACAGTCGCCACCCCAGCGACGGGTGCCAGGGCGCCAGCGACCGAGAGCCCGAATCCACCCTCGCCAGCACCAGGCCATCAGTTGGCCCGCAACCAGAGAAGCCGGTTTCACCGCAGCCCACCCCGATTGCATCCGCGCCCACATGTGCGTCCGTGTCAGGGTCAGCGTCGACCACTTCGGACCACACAAACAACTCAATCAACACAAACAACTCCGTCGCTACTCACCCGAGCCCCGTAGGCTCGGCCTCGTCGACGACTCGATTACGCTGCACTTTGTCTCCGCGTGCCGACCGCGCTGCCGCTTCCGCTATTGCGCGCCCCAAGACTACCATTCAACGGCCCTATTCCTTTCCTGACTCGCCCGCCCCCAGTCGAGTCGCTAGTGAGGGCTCCCGCGTCGTGCGCGCCAATTCAAAGTCCCCACCATCCTCATCACCCACCGTCCAGCTCGGGCCTTCGCATCACCGTCGCGCCAACACGGACTCGAGCGCTGGCGCCATCACCGCCACAACCACAACCACCGCTGCCCACGGTGATACCGCAGCCTCGCCCGGAACAATCACCAAGGAGTGGGCACGAGGTCAGCGTGAACTGTTGCTGCCCACGACACTTGACGACGACAACACCGATGAAAAACGGAAATTTAGGTCGCGACCGCCTGTATCCTTCCGACGCCCGCGAAACGACTCCTCGGGGATCCGTGTTCCGCCCATCCGTTCCTTCCGCTCCTCGGGATCCAGGAAGAGCTGGACCCAGGATTTGACCGCCCCAACCTCGAAGCGCAATTCCCTCGACGACTCCTCCCACGAAGTCCTAATGGACTCGGATACTTACGACCGCGACCGCACACTATGGGCTCTCGAGGGCCGTCTGGCAGACGGCGCCTTCGCCCAGATGACCCCGCCCGGCTCGGCCGACGCCACGCCCAACGACAACACCACGAGCGACATATTCATGAAGATTGCCCGCGAGGATCCCTCGCGCTCGCAGGCTGAAGGCGACCGTCAGCCTCAGGATCCCAACGCTTTGGTAAGTGAACAAGCCAAGCATTTCGAGGGGGAAAATGTCTCTCCGGTCTAGCCTCGTTTCGCACCTCTGCCAGTGGCGGCTTAGTAGCTGCGCTCGGGCATCGGTGTCTTGGGCTGTCATCAATCAGAACACAGACAGGCCCAATGCGACACGGTGCCGTCTGCTCGGGCTTGGATCGCTTGCTGCAGAAACATTGTCTCGGGTGCTCGCTACTTTCTCGAGCTCGTAACACCAAGATCGGGACAATTTCAGGCTGCTCAAAGTCTCGTGTTGCCACGTATCGTATCACGACTGACCTGATGTATAGTCTAGGGTTAATCGGTCGGCCCATCGCCGCCCATTATCGGCAGCGATTCCTTCATATCAACGCAACTCGCCACCTCGGGTGTCCCGCCGTCTGTCGGACCAACGAGAGACGTCTCGCTCGCACCGCTCCGTTGTGGAACAGCCCGCGCTGCAAATGCCCAAGGACCAAGCACCACGGCCAATCACGAAGGAACGCATCGCTCAACTTGATGACACCCCGCGCTCGAGGCTGACGAGCCAGGCCCTCAAGGCGTCTCCAATCACGCCTCGATCACCTGCGGCCCAGGACGCTCCAGACCCCATATCTGCGTATGCAAGACGGCGCACGTCGGTCACGGATAATGCTACTCCGCCAACGAGCAGGACGTCATCTTTCAAGGCCACCTACGGACAAGCACGGACCTATAACTCGTCTCCGTTGGTGCCACGACAGGCGGAGGCACACCATACCGAGGCTGGCGGTCAGGGGCACGCTGTCGAGGGCACCGAGTCGTCCACATCTACGGCTGCGCCTTCCACCGTCTGGGACGAGCTTGACGATATTAGGACACGCATCCACAGGCTTGAGTTGACTGGCAAGGCGCCGGCTACCTCCAACCACGCCATGTCTCGCGTGTCGGACGACAGGCCACCCACAGCCACTACTAATGCGACCACCATGTCGGGGTCGCCCAAGCGTGGTTCTGGAAACGCCAAGGCGGAGAGTGTTAGCGCCACCTCTTCGTCGCACCGCGAAGCCAACAACCCCATCCTCATATCCGCCGTCACGAAATCGAAGCCTTTCCTCAGTGCGGAGGCATACGAGGCGCTCGAGGCGGCGGCAACTGATGCGCTGGCCCTATCTCAAATGATGGGAGCCCCGGGACAGCCTGGACCGATTTCGAGTTCGGCAAGCTCCATCGGGTTTGGCACAAACCTGACAGACAGGCAGCTTCGGAAGAAGGCCGACAGTATCTGCAGGAATCTTACCGAGCTGTGTCTAGCTTTGGCGGACAATGGCGGCGCTGCTGCTGCCAAGCCGGCACCTGTAAAGAACGTCACGGTCGCAACTTCAACGCCAAAAGAGAAGGAGCCCTTCCTGACGAGCCCCACAGCGAGGACCTTTTCTTTTGCAGACGGCCCCAGACGATCGGGTGCTGTCGGAGAGGGCAATTTGGCTCGCCTGAACACTACGTTGAGCCCTAGGTCCTTGGGGCGTACCTCGGATCGGAGGTCCGCCCTTCTGGGTAACGGTACGGTGTCCAGCCCTCGCTTCGCCATGACACCGGCCACCCCGATCCCATCGATAGAGCCGGTGTCTGCTGGCATGGCTGCCGGGAGAAAGTCTTCGCTTCTAATATCCCGGACGCGCCGGGCCGGGACCGAGGAGCCCGAAGAAATGAGTGGACGGAGGTCTTCTCTTCTTCGAACACGGCGAGCAGGAACGGAAGAGCCCGATGAGGGTCGCAAGACGTCATTCTTCCGTCGCGCCACCCAGAAGCCGTATGACGACGAGGAAGAAGCCCCGCCACTGCGCGCACCCTCCCGCGCCACTACCGAACTCGGCCTTATGCGGGGTGCCCCTCGTGACTATGTCGGGCAGCAGCAACAAAAACACCAACACCAACACCAACAACATCAGCAGACGTCGAGTATCTCGGAGCCATCGAACCTAGGCAGCTCGGCGTTTCCCCGGCGGCGATTGGTGCCGTCGTCGCTTAATGCTCGGCTCGTGGCACCGCCAACGCCCACTCGGCGATACTTGGAACGCGTGACGCCAGAGAGAGACGTGGGTCCTCCACCTGGCGATAAGATGGCCGACGACAGAGTGCAGCGGCAGTTCTCGCTCATTGGCGGGGCAGCTGGCACCGGATCGACCATCGGCCGAACAGGGAGCCTGAATCGGCGGCGCGACAGCCTGATCCCCGGCCTGGGCGGGGTGGCGAGCGGCAGCCAGGTGGGCGGCTACCGATGAATAGCAAAAAGAAGAAAGACGATGGATGGATGAAAGAAAGACGGTATGAAAACAAAACATGGTGAAGAGGCCAAATGTGTTGACGCTTTTTCTTGATGAACCCCCGGCATGGCATACAAATCTTTTATTACGAATGTACCAATAGGAAGCTTACGATTCTGGCGCGGGGCGTTCTATTTGATCTTGATATGTTCATTTTCTCTTATTATGCTTGTAGCAGCTCTCTTCTCTTCGCTATTATCCCTTTTTAGTATCTCTTTTATCACCCCTTCCCCATAGTTGTTTTTCCATGGCTCATCGGCGGCGAGGGAGGAGTGGAGTGTACTTGGTGGCATCGATTTCACATTGCATCGGAGGGTTGGGCGTTGGTACTTTTTTTTTCCACATTGGATGAACGAAGGGGCGCCGTTGGTGCCTCACTCTCGTTGCCTTCTCCGGCCTCACTTTGACCTTTTGATTTCCCACACATTGTTCCCGCGTGTTGTCCCGCATTGATGTTATGATCTGCTTGCTTGCCCTGATATTGAGAAGCACCTAACGTAACTGAATTATGCCAGCCAAGCGGCCAGTGCTTTCTGTGAGCTTGGTATCGGGAAGAGGCAGAGCAGGGTAATTGGTATCTAATCTCGTAATGTATATCGTTGTTTTGTAGACGATGCCCACAAGATCTCGGTAAAGTCTGGGGTTTCGGGGGATTTTTGCAGCCTCCATGCTAGCAGGATTTGGCAGGGACGATCTTACTTTTTTTTTTCCTTAGGCTATTCGACCATATACAATCGTATTGAGTTGAGGTTGAGTCATACCGATCTGGGAGCGCACTGCATCAGCCAGATGGAATGATTTTTAGCAGACAGCGTGCTGCAGCTTCAGCACTCCAGCGCTTCCCCGCCATCCCTGCAACGTCGACAGCGACGACGGCCTCGGGCAGACGACTCGGGAGGATAGCAACCAGAAGCTCGCGACGGGCTCCCGGAGCTCCTTCAGCAAAAAGCGTAACAAGCCCGCGACTGCGACCAAGCGCGTGCTCACAACTACGGTCGTCTGTCGTGACGACGACGACGACGACAGCAGCAGAAACGGAAAAAACCGCCGTCGCCGCCGGCATGGACCTACACGGCGACGCCGCGGCCGACCTGGAGGACCGGGCGGCTTCCCGGGGCGGCAGAGGTAAAGGCCGTGGGGGAGGTGGCGGTAGGCGGGGAGGAGGAGGAGGAGGTGGTGGTGGTGGCGGTGGTGGTGGAGCGCGCGAGGTGGCCGTTTCGCGGGCCCTGTCCAAGCTGCTGCGTCACCAGGCCGAGAACGCGGGCATCAAGCTGGACGCCGAGGGGTACGCGCCGCTTGACAAGGTGGTGGGTTTT